TGGTACTGTAGTAATGTGTCAGTAATGTACATGATACATTCACTCTGACAGCAGAGTAATGGGCATATTCTGTTAAATGAATACATGAGGCAACCCAAATTATCTGGTTAGCTTAGCATAAAGCATGAAGACTAGCTTAACTCAACCCAATGATACTTGTTTGAGGTATGCAAAAAGTTCAACAAGAGCTCAAATTTTATAGTTTTTAGGGACTAACCTGGTACATAGATCAGCATTCTGCACAAAAGATAGATATATATGAGCTTTTAGAAGTGCTAGTGGGTGCATGCTGTCATTGAACACACAGGAATTAGTTTAGCAGAATTGGTGCTAACTGCTAAGCTAACCTGTTGTGGCCTGCAGCCTTGTATTTGGACAGTGGTCCAGTGGTGACTGTTCTCTCATCTAGGTTTGCAAAACAAGTCCAGTTAGTTACCAAAATGGTGTACCATTTAACAATGGTTTAATTTCTACACCGCACCCTGTATCGGTCCATGACAAAATCGTAGACTAAAAAAAACATAGTTAAAATAATTAGATGCCATTTTTTTTGTATATCTCAGTGAACAGAAAGAAGTTATTATGTTCCACTCATTCTCAGAGGCATGCATGCATTTCTGTTTTCTTCTTATGTCTTTCTTCCTAGACAGTGACTTTCTTGTTTCCACAAATTCTCAGCTGTTCACAAAAAAGCTTTTTGTTGGATGGTGGAAGGCTGTGAACGGCGTGTGGCTTTCCCGCCTATTTAAAGTTGTGGCTAACATACTTTTAAGATCATATCCTGCAAAAGGTATGACAAACAGTCGCATCTGGATGTGATCGCTAAATATAACGCCATAAAATCAAGCCTATGATTTGTCTGGCTGTTTGTGTAACTATGGATGATGTAGTTCATGTTCATTACATCCTAGCATTTGAAGTTGAGCAGTAATTGGAGTCACATGCATTGTGCGCACATGTATGTTGAGATATATATGCGTGTGTGTGTGCACACGTGTGTTCCTATTTAAGGCTCACATCTGTTGGCATGTGTGTTAAAAAGCCAGATGGTTGTCATTACCATCTCCCCAACAGCCCTTGTGTCTCTGCTGTATCTGTCCACTGTAGGTAGATGGTTGTGTTGCAGGACTGCAGATCTGCTGGTTGTGACTTTACACTGTGAGCTAGTCCCTTTTGCTTACACTGCTTCCTGCCTTACATGTCACTCCCAATCAGAGTGTTTCTAGGACAGACATTTCTCCAATAATGATCTGTAATATTTTCATTCACATTGTTTATGCAGT